CATGTTTTTCATCTGCATGTCCAAGTACCGCTACTCAGGCCTACTATCCTTGAGGGAGGCGACTGCTCTAGATACTTCGAGGTACATCTGCCGCATCCGTAGTCCAAGAAGTCCCTTTCTATTCTAGCTGTTAAACATAGCCCTTCTGTATTTTTCTTTCTTGTTAGATATTCTAGAGTTAGACTGTTAGATATTCCAAAGGCTTGTGTTTCCGTGAGTTTCCGGGTTTTGGGATAGTCTACTTGGTTTTGAGAATGTTGTATTGTATATGCCGAGCGACATTATAACTATTGTTCCATTCAGTTATTTTTGGTTTTTGATTATTTCTTCCGCATGTTTTGTTTATGTTCTGCATTTGTTAGGCTTACCTAGTCGTAAAGACTAGGTGTCGTCACGACAGTTCACGGAGGGCGAACTGGGGCCGTGATAGATGGTGAGAACGTGAACGGCGGATGTTCCGAACCTAGAAAGAGCTGCTCCCCCTGTTTCTAGAAGCCAATGAAGAGGCTGAGGGAGGGCACCAACCTGAAGTAGGGGCGAGGACATCCCAGAGTTGCCCTAGTGGTCCCAATAGTGGATCTAGTGGAGGATCCCACTATTGAAGAGAAGGAGAGGTAGCTGCAGTAGAGCTAGCCCCTGTAGATTTCATGTCAGCACCGGGCTTTTAAGAGGTTATGGGCCGTATGCTGCGGTTCAAGGATACCATGATCCAGGCTAGTTTATTTCTAGCAGACCCAGCCACATATCAAGAAGGAGAGGGGCATAGACCTCTACTTCTTAGGCTCCTAGGCATGCAGCCGCTATATATCATACCCTAGGCATACTACCCGTGGGCGGGACCTAGCCAGTAGCAGCAATCGTATCTGAGCCCAGACTAGCTGCAGCTAGCGAGCCACAAAAGCTATTGGATAGATGGACTAGGCTACACCCTCGTGTCTTTGGGGGTGAGCAAAATAAGGATCCCCAGGACTTCATTGATCCGTACATGGACAGACTGCACAAATGATGAAATTGGAGTCTCATGGGGTGGATTTCACTACTTTCGAGCTGGAGGGAAAGGCCCATAGGTGGTGGCAGTCTCATCTTCTTGGTAGACTAGCAGGTTCTCCTCCCATGAGTTGAGATCAATTTACATGCCTTTTCTTGTATAGGTATATTTCACCCTCTTAGAGGGAAGAGTTGCAAATTCATTTTGAGCAGTTCCAATAGCTCCAACAGGGTCAAATGTCAATGCCCGATTATAAAGTGAGTTCTCTGACTTGCCTCGTCATGCCCTTATGATACTTCATACAGACGCAGAGAGAGTGTGGGGGTTTGTCGCGGGATTTCACTTAGGTATTCAGGCAACTATGGACCAGGAGGTTGATATGAGCACTTCTTATATCTAGTAGTGGAGATAGCTCAGAGGATTGTGGGTTACCGTCAGAGAGGTAGAGAGAAGATGTAGTGGGACAAGTGGGTCCGATATTATGGAGAGTTTTGAGGTGCCCCGGCTGGGGGCAGAGGTCAGTTTGGGAGGGGTCAGTCTAGCAGGCCCACATATCCTGCATCGCTACCTCCTCGGGGTGCTGCAGTGCGACCCTATTTTAGTGCCATGCTAGAGAGTTCTTACCGCCCACCAGCTATTTAGGGTTCTTCCAGTGGGTACTCAGTCCATCAGGGTCAGGCTTCAGGCTAGCAGATCATTGTACCGAGAGGTTATTTCGAATGTAGAGATTTTAGTCATGTGTAGAGGTTCTTCCCCAGGTTTCGGGATAAGGCAGTGCAGTAGTGCCATCAACCCATGATTATAGCACCAATTCTTTAACCGCCAAGAGGCGGAGGGCAGGTGGGTAGAGGCCGTCCTAGAGGTGGAGGCCAGGCTGGTGGAGGCCAGCCAGTTACAGCCTAGTTAGGTAGGGGCCATCCAGCCAGCACCCTAGCTAGGTTCTATGCTTTTTCGGCCAGATCAGATGTAGTGGCCTCAGATACCATCATCATAGGTATTATTTCTGTTTGTGGTAGGGATGCTTCAATATTATTTGATCCATGTTCTACCTATTCATATGTGTCATCTCTGTTTGCTCATTTTTCGGATGTTCCTCGTGAGTCCTTGGGTACTCCTGTTTATGTGTCCACTCTTGTGGGCGATTCTATTGTTGTGGATTAGATCTATCGTTCTTGTGTGGTCATATACTGTGGTTACGACACTATAGCGGATCTTCTATTGCTTGATATGGTCGACTTTGAGGTCATGCTAAGCATGGACTGGCTATCCCCATATCATGCCATCCTTGAATTCCATGCCAATATTATTACCTTAGCAATGCTAGAGTTGCCTAGATTGGAGTATAAAGGTTTGTCTGTCAGTGCATCTAGTTGGGTTATCTCTTTTCTGAAGGCTCGACATATGGTTGAGAAGGGTTGTTTGGCTTATCTAGCTTATATTCGAGATACTACCGCAGAGACTCCGATGATTGATTCAGTACTAGTAGTCTGGGAATTATCCAGTATGTTTCCTTCTGACCTTCTAGGCATGCCACCGGATTGTGATATCGATTTCTGTGTTGACTTGGCTCCACTTACCCAGACTATATCTATACCACTGTACTGTATGTCTCTGAAAGAGTTAAAGGAGTTGAAGGAACATCTTGAGGAGTTGCTAGCAAAGGGGTTTGTCAAACCAAGTGTATCGCCTTATGGTGAGCCAGTGTTATTTGTGAAGAAGAAAGATGGGACTATATGCATATACATTGATTACCGCAAGTTGAACAAAGTTACCATTAAGAACAAGTACATGTTGCCATGTATTGTTGATTTGTTTGACTAGTTGCAGGGTGATAAGGTGATCTCTAAGATCGACTTGATATCGGGGTATCATTAGTTGAAGATTAGGGACTCGGATGTTCCGAATACTACTTTCCGTACTAGATATGACCATTATGAGTTTCTAGTAATGTCATTTGGCTTGAATAATGCCCCAACAACATTTATGGATTTGATGAACATGGTGTTCAGTACATACAATGATACGTTTTTCATTGTCTTCATTGATGAAATTTTGATCTACTCGCGCATCATGGAGGAGCATAAGCAAAAATTTTAGAGTGGTGCTTCAGACCTTGCAAGAACAGAAGCTATATGCTAAATTCTCCAACTGTGAGTTTTGGCTAGATTCTGTAGCATTCTTGGGGCATATCGTGTCAGGCGAGGGTATTAAAATGGATCCCAAAAAGATTGAGGAAGTTTAGAGCTGTCCCCATCCCACTTTGGCGACTGCGATCAGAAGCTTCTTGGGGTTAGCATGTTATTATTTACTAATTTTGTACAGGGCTTCTTATCTATTGTAGCACCTTTGACTAGATTAACCTAGAAAGGTGATCCGTTCCGTTGGTCTGATGATTGCGAGGCGAGATTTCTGAAGCTCAAGACAATTTTGACTATGACACCCGTTCTATTGTTGCCTTCAAAATCGAGATGTATACAGTGTATTTTGATGCTTCATGCATTGGATTGGGTTGTGTATTGATGTAAGAGGGGCAAGTTATTGCATATGCTTCACGTCAGCTGAAGATCCAAAAGAAGAATTATCCTATGCACAATTTAGAATTAGCTATAATTGTTCATGCTCTTAAGATCTGAAGGCATTATCTTTATGGGGTGTCCTGTGAGGTTTACACTGATCATCGCAGCTTGCAGCATTTGTTCAAGCAAAAAGATCTCAATTTGAGGCTGCACAAATGACTTGAGTTATTGAAGGATTATGATATCACCATTCTTTATGATCCGGGCAAGGCGAATGTGGTCGCGGATGCCTTGAGCAGAAAGGTAGAGTGTATGGGTAGCTTGGCATTCATTTCAGTAGAGGAGAGAAACTAGCTTTGGACATTTAGTCCTTGGCTAACATACTTGTGAGGTTGGATATTTTAGAGCCCAGCCGAGTTCTTGCATGCATTGTTGCCCAATCTTCACTATTAGAGAAGATCAAGGCTCGACAGTTTCATGATCTGTATTTGATGGTTCTTAGAGAGACGATAATACATGGTGGTGCCAATGAGGTTTCTATCAACGAGGATGGTGTTCTCTAGCTCCAAGGTCGTCTATGTGTTCCTAATATCGATGGCTTGAGGGGGAGAAATCTAGAGGAGGCACACAGTTCTCAGTATTCCATTCATCCAGATGCTACAAAGATGTATCACGAGTTGAGGTAGCATTATTAGTGGATGAGGATGAAGAAAGACTCAGTTGAGTATGTAGCTAGGTGCCTAAATTGCTAGCAGATTAAGTATGAGCATTAGAGGCCAGGTGGCCTACTCCAGCAGATGACTATACCAGAGTGGAAGTGGGAGTGCATTACTATGGACTTTGTAGTTGAGTTTCCGTGGACCTTGCAAAAGTTTGATGTAGTTTAGGTCATTGTCGACAAGTTGACCAAGTCGGCTCACTTCATTCTAGTTGTGACTACGTATACTTTCGAGAGGTTGGCCTTGATTTATATTCAAGATATAGTTCGGTATGGTGTGCCTATTTCCATCAGATCAGATAGAGGCCCTCAGTTTACTTCACATTTCTGGAGAGCAGTACAGAGTGAGTTGGGGACCCGTGTAAAGCTCATCACAACATTTCATCCACAGACCAACGGGCAGACAAAGCGGACAATTCAGTTCTTGGAGGACATGCTTAGAGCATGTGTGATTGACTTTGGAGGGCATTGGGATCGATTCTTACCTTTGGCCGAGTTTTCTTACAACAACAGTCATTAGTGCAGCATTGAGATGTCGCCATTTGAGGCTTTATATTGTCGGCGATGTCATTCTCCCATTGGGTGGTTTGAGCCCGGCGAGGCTAAGTTAAATGGTACTGATTTGGTAAAGGATGCCTTGGAAAAGGTAAAGTTGATTTAGGAGTGATTTCGCATAGCACAATCCAGACAAAAGAGTTATGCAGATCATAAGGAGCATGATTTATCATTTATGGTGGGTGAGAAGGTTCTCTTGAAAGTCTTGTCGATGAAGGGGATCATGAGGTTCAGGAAGAAGGGCACGTTGAGCCCATGGTTTATAGAACCATTTGAGGTATTGAGACGAGTTGTTAGGGTTGATTATCAGGTTGCTTTACTTCCAAGTCTATCGAGAGTTCATTCGGTTTTCCACGTGTCTATGCTCCGAAGGTATTATAATGACTTGTCACATGTGTTAGACTTTAGGACGATTCAGTTAGATGTGAGCCCGGATTATGAGGAGGATCCAGTTGCCATTGTTGATAGGCCGGTTCGCGAATTGAGATCAAAGAGGATTTCTACGGTAAAGGTTCAGTGGAGGGGCCAACCAATCAAGGAGGTGACCTAGGAGTCCGAGGAGGACATGCGGAGCAGATATCCACACTTATTTAGAACTCCACGTATGATTGTAAACCAATTTGTGGATGAACATTTGTTTAAGAGGTGGAGAATGTAACAACTCGACCGGTCATTTTTCTTCTAGAACCCCGTTCACCTAAATAATACTTCCCATATGTGCTTTTACTGCTTTATGACTTGTGGGGATGGTTAGTTCGGGATTTGGAAGGGTTCGGCTTGAAATCAGAATACTTGGTTATGTTTTGAGCAAAGGACCTCAAAATCAGGATTTGACGGTTCCAATAGGTTCGTATGATTATTTTGGACTTGGGCGTATATTCGGATCAGGTTTTGGATGAACCGGGAGCGTTTCGGCGACTAATAGTGAAAGTTGGTTCTTTGAAGGTTTTGAAGTTCTTTAAATTTTGTTTGGAGTAGGTTTTGGTGATATCATGGTCCATATGGAATTTTGAGAACTGGAATAGTTTTTTATGGTGATTTAAGACTTGCACGAAAAATTTGGTATCATTACGAATAGTCTAAGTATGATTCGGCGTATTCGGATCGATTTGGAAATTTGAAGTTCATATTTTGATTCAATTTGGTTTTGGCGTGTGCTTCTTAGTTTTATTGTTGTTTACACATTTCAAGAATTTGAGCAGGTCTGTATGATGTTTATAGACATGTTGGTGTAGTTGGATGGGGTCCCGAGGAGCTTGGGTGTATTTCAGACCGCCCGGAGTTAAGTCGAGGAAACCAGATTTTTCAGTTCTGGTTTCCTTCTTTGCGAACGCGGAAGGACCATCACCTCGGCGGAGAAGGATTTGGGCAGTGGGGAAATTTACCCTTTGCAATCATGAGAAGGGGATAGCATTTGCGGAGCCTTGAGGTCCCAGGCTTACGCGCTCGCGTAGAAGGGAGGGACCTGGGGAGGGGTCAAGGTCAGTGCTCTTCGGGGTTCGCAAAGGTGCCCTTGCGTTCGCGATGGACAGGGCTAGTAAGCCATCGCGTTCGCAAGGTCCTTATCGTGTTCTCAGAGGCAAAGTCTTCATGGGCCTAGGTCATTGCCTTCACGAACGCGAGGCCTGTTCTGCGTTTGCGAAGAAGAAGGGAGCTGGGCAGAGAGTTTTAAAAATCGGGACTTAGCCATTTTTGTGTTCATTTATTGCATTCTTGGGTGATATTGCAGCTTCAAAAAGGGAGATTTTAACCTAGCTATTGAGGGTAAGTAATTTCTACCTAATGTGAGTTTAATATATACATTATGTTAGATTTTAACATGTAAATTTGTGGAATTTATGGGTTAGATGAAAAACTTAGGTTTTTGATAAAAAGGGGATTTAACCACGAAATTTGTTATGGAACTTAGTGAAAATCATATATTTGAGTTAATGAGGTTATGAGTAACAACTTTCTTTGAAAATTTCCGAAATTCAGGCACATGGGCCCGGGGATGAATTTTAGGAATCCTACATTTGGGGTTCGATAATCACTTTAATAGTTGGAATATGAACTTTTGAATATGTATTGATTAATTTATATACCATTTGACTATTTTTCGGATTGCTCGGCACCGAGTGAGGTTTTAGAGTGAATTCGAGGCCGGAAAGTAAGCATTGAGATGACATAAGTCTCTTTTCTAACCTTCTAAGAGGGAATTAACCCCATAGGTGAATTGTTTAATATGTGCTCCTAAGTGCGAGGGCTAACTATGCACGAGATGATGAGAGTCCGTACATAGCTACTAATTATGCTATTGTCCGGGTAGTCTAGGACACATACCATGTTATACTTATGATATTAGCACCCTACTTGTTAACTTAATTTCTTAAATCATGTTGGAACTTGATAAATGAACTTTAAAAGGTTAAATTTCATTTAATTGATTTCTTGGACGGGTCACTTGATTGTTATTGAGAATTTTTATTTAATTAAATATTAGCCTCTTAATAAATCTTAAATCGGTTGTTATAAAGTATTTTCTCTTTTATAGAACAGATTGAACACCTCAGTAGCAGATAGATGGATCTATGGTTCGTGCCATTCGATCCTTGACAATGCATAATTTAAATATTTTATGTTTGATCGGGCCGTACAACCTCAGAATAAATTGCGCGTAATAAATCTTTGGAACCAATTAAAATTGATATTGTTTCATTGGCTTGAGATATAAATTATTAAATGATGGAAATGAACTTGGGATTTATTATTAGTGAGACAATTGCCTATTATTTCCTGTGATTGAGCTTTCAGCTATATTGATGTAATCCATTTTTAGTTATAATTTTGACATTTTATTGTTATCCCATAATAAGTGTCAAAGTCGACTCCTCGTTACTACTTCTTTAAGGTTAGACTGGATATTCACTGGGTACATGTTGTATATGTATTCACGCTATACTTCTGCACTAAATGTGCAGGATCTGAGGCAGGTGCATCTGGATATCAGTCCGTTATGCATCCATGATTCCCGAGACTTCGCGGTGAGCTGCCCTTCTGAGCCCGTTCTGCAGTAGCTGGAATTTTTCTTTTGCTTGTATTTCCTATCTATTTCACTTCAGATAATAGAGTAGTTTTCTTTTTTATATTCTACTAGTTGCTTATACACTTGTGACACCATGTCTTGGTGATTAATGCTAGTAGACACTTGATGGTTTTTGGGGCTATTTTACTTATCTCACTTGCTTAGAAATCCTGATTTTCCCATTTTATTAAATGCTTACTTATTATTTTTTTTCACAAAATAAAAATAAACTATTTCAAATATTTAAAAGAAAGAATCACAGAGTTAGTTCACTGTAGGCTTGCCTAGCGGCAACCTTGGGCGCCATTACGGCCTATAAGAGAAATGGGTCTTGACAATAACAATTTTATCAAATTACAATAAAAAATCAACCTCCAAATCATAAATTTACGGTATAGAAAATTTATACCATTTCACCTCAATTAACTAGTTTCATGATAAAAACAACAATAGATTCATGTATAATAACCAAAATCGAGTTAGGAATTCTTACCCCAATGTTTTCCTTGAAAAACTCTTGAAAATTGCCTCATCCGAGCTTTCTTGGTCTAAAAATGGAAGAATGAGACGAAGTTTCATTTTTGGACTTTATTTTGCTACCCAGGGGTTTGTTCTTCGCGTTAGCGACCCTCCCTTCGTATTTGCGATGAGCAAATTCCTCAATAGTGATTTTTAAACTCTTCACAGACAACCTCTAGTATAATAGTCGTAACGTTTTATACACAACTCTAAATGACAAATGGTTTAACTTTCTGTAAATTAGACACCAAGGGCTATAACTTTCATTTGTTGCTCATCTCCTGATCCCTTATAGTTTGCCAGTTATAAGGTTCCAAAGTTAGCTTTGTGCAATAGAGATTTCCAAACTCTTCCCAGACATCCTATAGTGTAACTATCATAATATTTTGTACAAAACTCCAAATGACAATTTGTTTGAATTTCTGAAAACAAGAACAAAGGGCTACAACTTTCATTTTTGAATAATCTCCAAATTCATTATATATTGCGAGATATGAGCTTCCAAAATCAGACGACAGACAACAGGAATTCCTTCCTCGCGAACGTGAGAGTCTCTTTGTGAACGAAAAGAACAAAATCCCCGAAGCCAAATACTTCTTCGCGAATGCGAGAGGCTCCTCGCGAACGCAAAGAACAACACCAGACATCACAAAATTAGCATCCAAAGTAGCCCAAAATGTTCTGATAACACCCGAAATACACCCGAGGCCCCCGGGACCCCAATCAAATATACCAACACGACCTAAAACATCATATGAACTTAGTTGAGGCCTCACATCATGTCAAACAATGCTAAAATCATGCATCACTCCCCAATTCAAGGTTAATGAAACTAAAAAATTCCAACTTCTACATTCGATGTCGAAGCCTATGAAATCAAGTCCGATTGACCTCAAATTTTTCACACTAGTCATAAATGACATAGCGGAGCCATTCCAATTTCCAGAATTGAATTTTGACCCCGATATCAATAAAGTCAACTCCCGGTCAAACATTCAAAAAATCTTCTATTTTCTAACTTTCGCCAAAGTTTGTCGAATTGACCTACGAACTTCCAAATCCAAATCCGTACATACACCTCAATTCACAATCACCATATGAAGCTATTGAAATCATCAAAACTCTATTCCAGAGTTGTTTGCTCAAAGTCAAACTCCGATCAACTCTTTTCATTTAAGCTTCAAAAAAAAAAAGAATTGTTCTTTCAATTTAATTCGAAATCATTTGAAAACCAAACTTGGCCACACACGCAAGTCATAATACATATTATGAAGTTTATCAAAACCTTAAGTCGTTGAATGGGGGGTTAATTCTTAAAACGACAAGTCGGGTCGTTACGTTCTCCCCCTCTTAAACATATGTTCATCCTCGAACGTGCCAAGAATTCTTTTGAGGACATTAAATTATTGAGTTTACTGTTACACACATACAGGAGGGTGATTCAACATAACAACATTTAACATGGGTCCAACAACACCCTCTCAGTTGATATTATCTCTTTTGTCCTCCTTTATAAACCTTAAAGCTAATTTCTTACACTTCAATTAATTTCAAAAGGCTTGATTTTCCGTATTAAGACACCATGGTAGTCTCAATTGGCTGTAACAATATCGTTCCTACACACATATTATAAGCATGCCCATAACCACATCTCTGGTCTTAATAGTTGTTCATAATTAATTCTAGCATCCTCAAGTAATCTCATATTAACCAAAATCTCGTTTCAAATTTTCACAACACTGATAATAACACGCCATACACGAAGACTTTATAATTATTTACCCAAATTAACGAGTCACATTTAACACCACCTGGGCACTCACCTTGTAGGCTAAAACTCGATGTTTACAGCACGAATATGGCAAAATATACACAGAAATAACATACAAAATTATCAAATTAGCCTATAGACAAGACTCCCTATTAATACTATAGTACAAATTTAAATTTCATAAAGTGAGAATTTA